GCCTTTTCCAACAGAACAGAAAACCTATGTAAAAACTCAAAGTTTTGTTGTCATTCAAGAAATTCACTTGATGCACTGATAGTCACGGAAGAGTAGATGGCATTTGTCATTTTCCTCCCATGTGACTTGACAACTATGCTTTGAGCTGCTGCTGTCATTTGGTGTTTTAAATAATTACACATTAGAAGTTGATTTAAATTTCCATGCCACAAAATAATCCAATCATCAGATGTCTATTCTTTGAAAAACACAAAAGATTATTAAGGACTTTTCATTTCTGTTTTATTTTATGTTTTATTTCTTTTTCATATTGAACTGTTATGTATTTAAGGCATGCCATGCTAATATTAAACAGTGGTGTTGACTCTAGTTTGTCAACTCTAGTGGCTCAGTGGATTGATAACTGGCTGGTGAACCAAAGGGTCACCATTTTGATTCCCAGTCAGGGCATATACCTAGATTGCAGGCCAGGTCCCCAGTACAAGATATACTAGAGATAAACACACATTGATATTTCTCTCTCTCTCTCTCTCTCTCTTTTTCTTTCTCCTTCCCTTCCCCTCTGTCTAAAAATAAATAAAATATTTTTCAAAATCACTGGTGTCAACCCTTGTCTTTAACAATAATATTGTATTATAAAAGAACTCTATAACTCTATCCCATCTTTGAGTCTAGGTTACTGGTACATGGGTAATAATTATATTGAAACATTTCTCTATCAGACCCTTTATCAGGTGCTCTCTGAATAAGAGAAGGTGATAATAAATTGAGAGTGGAGGAGGAAGAGGAAGGAAAGGGAAGCAAGGTTGTCTCAGATGTGAAGTCAGGATGAGGAGGTATAAGGACAGTTCTGTCATCCTTCCATCTTTATGCTGTGTTAAGTAACGCTTACAACATTAATTCAGCAGGCTTTTCCTCAGCAGTAAGTGAAAAATTTTCTCCCTGTAAACAATGTATTTACAAATGTGTTCGTTGACTTAAACAGCAATCTCACAACAACTAGTAAAGATTTCTGTTTTAAAATTTGGAAAGGGAGGCCTAAAGGAAGTGTGTGTTAAATTGCAAATACAATGCCAATCAAAGACTGGTTTTTATGGAGGCTTCTGAGCGGTTCAGAAATATTTGTAGGGAAGAACAGATCAGAGCAGTAGTTCTCACCTGGGGGTAGTTGCCCCCCCCCCCCCCGCTACCCCAGGGATGTTGAGCAAGGCCTGGTGATATTTTTGGCTGTCACAACTAGGTGGGGCAGATGCTACTGGTGTCTAGTGGATAGACGCCAGGCATGCTGCTAAACATCCTACAATGCACAACATCCCCACACACAAAAAGAATGATTTGGCCCAAAATGTCAGTGGTGCTAAAGCGAAGAACCCTAAGCTAAACAAAGCCATTTTATAAAATGGATTTTACTAAAGTGCCAAAGGATGAAGGAGAAAGGTATGAGAGAGGAAAGTAAAACAACAGTACACCCAGAAGGCTGAGAGGCTGAAGCATCACAGGGAGCTAAGTAGATGAATTTAACTTGAGTGTAGGGCTCAAGTTAAATTCATAGAAATTTTCTGTCTTCGTGAATTTGACTACTTCAGACACTCTCCATAAGGAAATCATACAGTATCTATCTCTTCGTGACTAAATTATTTCACCTGGCATAATGTCCTGGAGCTTGTACCATATGACAGAATTCCTTTCCTTATTAAGGCCAAATACATCAGTGACCAGTCTGTAAATACAAACTAGAAAGAACATGAGCTTTGGGTCTCTGCTTTTACTAGGTGTGAAAATTTAAACAAGTATTTGTCTCCTCTGATTTCTTCTTATCTATAAAATGAAGATAATATTTATCTCCTACCCTTGTTGTCAGGGTCAAACCAGATAAGGTTAAATGCCTCCCCTCTTGGCAGGACAATAGGGAACAATCAGTAGGAGATGGGGAAAGACCATTCCTTCGATTCTCTAGACACCGGGGTTACTAAGTGTCAACTACCAATCACCAATTGAAGATACTGATGTTAATTGCTGCTGCAATCAACCAAAGTCTGATTAGTTAAGCTTTTATTATCTGCCTCCATCCTCTTCCTCATTTATTCACAAATGTTTCTGCAGTTATCCTTCTTTTAGGGGCAATGTTTTCTTCCTTTAGCAGAACTTTTATTCTCTTAGAGAGAAACGGATTACCAAAACAGTAGGTGGAAGTCTTACGCAGCCTCCGCATGAGGGATGTTACAGATGACTCCAAACTTCTGAGGGAACTGTTTCCTGACTAAAGTCATAAGGAATGCTAAGTCCAGGGCCTACCCTCTCCTGTGACGACACATGTGATTCGCCCTGAACTCTGACATTGAATCCAACAGCGCTCTTTTAACTTGATCAAATTATCCTCCTTCAGGTGGAACACATGTTCCTTTGCTCTATCACCATTTTTTCTTAAACCTTTCCCACATTCAGACTGCCTTTGTTAAAACTATTACCTGGAAGCCCTGGCTGGTGTAGCTCAGTGGATTGAGGGCGGGCCTGCAAACCAGACAATTGCGGTTCCATTCCCAGTCAGGGCACATGCCTGGGTTGCAGGCCAGTTCCCTGCAGGCCAGTTCCCAGCAGGGGACACACGAAAGGCAACCATACATTGATGTTTCTCTCCCTCTCTCCTTCCCTTCCCCTCTAAAGATAAATAATAATAAATAAAATTTTAAAAAAACCTATTATCTGGTGCAGTGGTATATACATTGTCTTCATTTGACTAAACAAGTGTAAAATCTTTCTGGCGGACTAGTGTCCCTGTTGAGCCCGGAGGCCATGGTGAATGGGGATTGGCCATCATTGCTAGGACAGGGTGTAATCTTGAATATGAAAAGTCCGGATGCAGCGGGAACTTGAAGATATCACAGACCCTGATTACCTAAAACTGGCCTAGGAGGGCACAGAGTAGAAAAACAGTCAGTCTTAGCCAAGCCAAGTAGGAAAGGAGAGCATTTGGAGTACTTGAAGTGTGAACTGAAAGATAAGTAGGTGCTAGCCAGGTAGAAAAATTAGGGAGCGTATTCCAGCAAAATCAACAGCTTAAAGAGAAGGTTCACATGAAAAGACAGGATAGATGTTTGTTGACACACACAGGTGGTTCAGCTTGGCTGGGTCACAGGATATGAGATGGGGAGACAGCAGGAGAGGCCATGGAGTGCATTCTCATTTTGACTTTTGGGGAAGGTTATATGGTGTTAATTGAAGAATTTTACAAAAGAAGGTCATAACATCATCATATGAGTGCTTTTAGAAAGATCCCCTGGCTGTAATGTGCAAGATGGATTAGAAAGGGCAAGGCCAAAAAAATAAGTGCTGCAAATATTAATGCAAAAAATGTTTGACTTCCATGCTTGATCTTGTGACCATTGTCCTAGAACAGATTAGAATGGGTCTCTGGCACATGCCTTACTTGTACATAATATTACCTGGTAGATGTATACAGCATCTCTTGCTCAGTGTATTAGTCAGGGTTTGGTAGAGAAAAGAGACCAAAAGGATGTGTGTGTGTGTGTGTGTGTGTGTGTGTGTGTGTATCTTCACATTATCAAGGAGGATTGCAAATCCAAAATCTGTTGGGTAGACCAGCAGGCTGGAGACAGAGAGTAGAGTCAACTTTGAGGGTGAGTCCAAAGGCCTTCAGAATGAACATCTCAGAAAGAGTCAATGTTACAGTTCAAGTCCAAACAAAATAGTAGCAATGGAGAGGAAGGGGCTAGAACTATATATGGGCTTGTTTGGACAGATGTTCTGAAAGCTAGATTCAGAGTACCGTGGATTGGGGATCACAAATAGGAACTTAAAATGGTGAAGGGGAGAGCCAAGCTGACATACTCACGGTTACACACCTTAATTGTTTTTTTCTAACAGTGAGGCTAGTCTGGCAATTTTTGGTGAACAAACCAAATAGGTTATATCTGGTTACCAGCTGAAAGGAAATCATTTGTTCCTCGTAGTGTGATCACAGATTAATGACCCTATTAACTAAGACATTTTTTTCTTTTAAATAGACGAGTATTTAACCTCGGAGTTGTTTTAATCTCAGAGACTTCATTCTCTGCCTGCAGACCATTATTGTTTCCTAAGAAGGTTATACATCAACCCCTTTCCATCTTTGGATCTAATTCACATTTTGGTAGAGTAGTCTTAACATATAGAGTAGTGTAGATTGTCTACCACTCATGGGTATTCAATAAGGAAGAGGTATACTCAAAATAATGCATTAGAGACTAACAAATATTTGAGGATTTTTTTACATTGCTGTCAGAGGGGTAAGAGCAATGTTCCAACAAGGATGATAAGAAACTAACTGGGATAATGACAACAAAAAGAGAAAGAAGGGAACAGATGGAAAGACATTGCAAAGCACAGAAAGAACCTAAGGACCTGACATGAGCGAGTAGATAGATGATGGTCATCATTCCAAAACCAGGAATGTGATGTAAGCAGTGAGTCAGGTATCTTACAGGGAAAGGTGATTCTGTTTTGTAAGTGTTCAATGAGTACCGCCAAAATATTTTCCAAGAAGAAATATTCTAACTATAAAATAGATGCAGTATAGGATCAAGAACTAAAATTTGAGACAGATTCTTTCAGATGAGGTTCATACTGAAGAAAACCATCGGTGTGGAAAATCTCTCAAAGAGCTAGTAGAGAAAAAATAAGACTGAAAATGAAAATAATCTGCATCTCTAGGAAAACAGACTAGCAAATTAAATTTTAAAAGGCGCAGGTAGAAACATAGAATGGAAAACACTACACTGCAGTCCAAAAATTCTTACTTAAGGTTATATATACCTCTCTTAAAACACCCTAAATTCCTAGCTGTCACTCCATTTTCCCTTTTACTCACAGCAACATTTCATTAGAGAATGACTCTTTGCTATCCATCCCCAGTACCTGACATCCATTTCCACTTCAACCCATGACATAGGACACATATCACAACCACCCACCGAACTGCTCTTTAAGACAACAGAGCCTGTGCCCCCTGGGAAAAGCACACACTAAAACTGGAGCAATAGAGAGAAGATCAGCACAGCCCTTGTGCAAGGACGACATGCAAATTTGTGAAGCAGGTTCCACATTTTAAAAAGGTAAATATTAAAATAGAATAAATGAAACTTTGGGAGAAAAGGGACTTCTCAGTCTCCAATTTGCTCTTTATTTTTTATTGCCTCTAAATATGAGGGGTGATACAAAACCCCCTGTAATTTCTTTATAAGAAAATTGTGTAGTTATTCTTACATGTTTAAACTTCAGTCACCTTCAGCGTACTCTCTATTTGATGCAATACACCTATCGAGAAGTTTTTCCCACTGATCAACACAGTTTTTTAACTCGTTGATTTTGATGCCTTTTAATGCTTCTACCTTTTTTTGTTCAGCTCTTCCACATCAGCAAAACATCTCCCTTTGGGACTTTTTTCATCCAGGGAAACAAACAAACAAAAAAGTCACTCAGGGCAAGATCAGGTGAATAGGGAGCTTGAGGATCATGCTGTTTTTGACCAAAAACTGCTGAACACTTACTGCAGTGTGGGCAGGTGCACTCATAAATCACCCATCATGAAGTGAGCAAATGCCTTATAAGAGTCTTCGAATAAAATTCACTGAAGTCAAACGCAGCCTCTCACAATGACACCAGCTGGTACACTGATACAGCTGGTTTCCTAGAACACTCACCTACCAAGATAAGCCTGTACTATGAGCCCTCCAGAAGATAATTCCAGGGCTATTGTGTGTTTGTGTGTGCATGTGTTCAATGAAAAATATGGTAGAAACTAAAATAAATAGGTTCAGAAAATGATTACAATGTATAGTGGAATACATAAGAGGAATATGGCTACTTCTTCCTTTGGAGAATCAGGGAATCACAAAGTGTTGTCTAATAAAAGTGGCCTTAAGCTCTGATCAGTATGGCTCATTTGGTTGGGTGTCATCCTGGAAAGTGAAGGGTCACCAGTTAGATCCCCAGTCGGCTAGTGAGAAGCATGCAAGAGTCATGTGAGAAGCAATGGATCAAGCCTCATGTGATTTGGTGAATGTTACTATGACAATTCAATATTTTTTGAGATGAAAAGTTTTACAAGTGTGATTGTTTTCTTGTTTTAATTAACCACTGTTAATAAAGATTAGCTAATTTGTGTAGGTCACTTTCTTGACTATTAAACCCAAACCTAATCATTTTAATACAAAATGGTCTTAGTTATTATTTATCACTTGTATTACTCTATAAATTTTCTTTTTGCTGCTAGCAAACACCAGAGGCATGTTATTTTTTGCATTTGTTCTTGAGTCTGCAATGATTCTGCTTTTTGTTTTCAAATTATATAGAATCTACTTTCACTTTTAAAGAAAAATATGGACTTTTAGGATCTTTATTGATTAACTATCTTTAAATAGCAGCTTGCATTTGCTACACAGCCCACTGATGAGAAAAATCAGTGATTTCAATGGTCATCAGTTAAAGAGCCATATATTACTTCTTTCTACAGTGCTGACTTAATTGCCACACAAGTTGTACTTCTTCCTTTCCTCAGTTAACAATGCCAAAAACATGTGTGAGGAGTTAACAGCCAAAATAATTGAAATGTGGAATTCTTGGCTGTCAATAAGGCAACACCAAACCTCAAGAGCTAACAAGAGGTGTCAATGAATCATTAACAAAACATAGAAGAGTGAGGTAGGTAGTAAAGCATCCAATAAGAGGCAATCACTATGACTAGTTTTCCGAACTTGCCTTTGGCTGGACAGAACAACCAATCAGCAGCTCACCATTGGCTGCCATTCTGCTTGAAAGCTGATGATGCTTACATAACAGCGTGTCATTTGCATAGAGGTGGAAGGGACCAGTGCATGGCCAAGTTTCTCTACTTGTCATCACAGCATTAACCTAGAGGGAAACTCAATGAACTCTCCAGTTCAGAACATTATACAATCTCCTGTGATGACAGACATCTGATGCTTGCATCCTGGATTTGTTTAAAGAACTTTCACGCACACTTGATTGGCATATGTTGTATATTCATACCTCCTAAGTATGTGTTGGAGATGACAAGGAGACTGAAGCCCAGAAATAGGTAACGGCTTGTCCAGAGCCTGGTTTCCTGATTCCAGTGCCCATTCAATAAGCTAAATTAGCATTTCTCCGCAAACTGTACATTTTGTTAGCATTGGAACTTACTTATTAACACATCTCCAGTTTAATAGCTTTTGACAGAAAAGGGAGCTGCCTTTCAATCATTCCTATTCCCACAAAAAACAATATTTATAAACTGTTAACATTTCATGTCATGCGTTCTTTTATAAAATCCCAATCCAGCTGCTGTCAGCTAGCACTCCAGAAGGTTAAGTGAAATACCCTTGGATTGCTGTACGTCATGCTCTGCCTGCAGCCTCACAACACAAAGCGCTCAAAGTTGATCATTAGACTAGCCATACAGACAAATCATGCAAACCAGACTAAATAATATTCCTGCATATTACTTGGTAGTTCAACCATTTGGATTTCCTTCATATATCTTATTAATTTTCTGTATTTTTATAAGTTTCTTCCCTTTCAGTTAAGATCCCTAGACTTTACTGATTATATTTTTCTTTGGACTGATCTTGAATTATTTTTGTTTATATATTAATCAGATACTTTCTCAATGTCCACTGTCTTTGAGACTCTGAATATTACTCTGAAGCAGAGTCAACTGGCATTTTGAAGTCATTATAAGACATAAGGTTAAGTTGAAGAGTAGGTATAAAAACCCAAATATGAAATTTAATTGTAACTTAATGTTATTTTAATGTACTAATAGATGGCATGCCCAAATATACTCAGTCTCTGTTAACAGAAGACATGAGTATTCTGGAAAATTATGTCTCTGTGAATGAACATTAAAACTGAATGAAACTGGGGGGAAACCTCAAGATGAAAAGTGAGAAGACTAGTCAACCATCTGGAACTTTCATACACGGTGCCAAACATCCGGATACTTGTTCAAATCTGGATGAGTGTTAGCTGTAATTTACTTACAGCCTGAGTTATTTTTTTCAACATTCAGATGTATTGACTTCTGGACTGTTAATGTGTCCCTAATATAGCATTTTATCAATATTATTAGGGTTTTAGTTTGAGTATTGCTCTTTTGAATAAAAGTATATAATTAATAAATTTTGTAGTAACAAAATAAGCAAATGCCAGTCCACTTGTAAAAATATATCAGCTGAAATTTTCATGACTGATCTGAAGACTGTGTTTAACTTTTGTGGAAATGTAACGGGAAAAGTTTAGACTGTCATTTTTGTCTTTTTTTCTCAAACAGAAAAAAAAAACATTTAACATACTGTGTTTACTAATAACACCTGTTAACCTTCATTGAACAGATCTCTGCAATTAAGACAACTATCATTTTGTCACATACAAATATCATAGAATTTGAAGGAATCATCCAACAAACATAGATACAATGTTGAGCTTTCAAAGTTCTTTAAAAATCACAACTAGCCCCTGCTGGTGTGGCTCAGTGGTTCAGTGCCAGTCTGCAAAACAAAGGGCCACTGGTTCGATTCCCAGTCAGGACACGTGTCTGGGTTACAGGCCAGGTCCCCAGTAGTACAAGCTTGAGAGGTAACCACACATTGAAATTTCTCTTTCTCTCTTTCTCTCTCCCTTCCCCTCTTTATAAAAACAAATAAAAAACATCTTTAAAAAAAAGTTGCTTTAAAATTATTTAAAAAGATAAAAATCATAGCTAGCACTTAGTTCCACCCATAAAGTTTCTTGTCACATCATCCAATCAATATTTACTATTTATAATATTACTTTAAAAATTATCTAATGAAAAATAAATATCATTATATGCTTTCAAAGCTAGTATAATCTGCTGTCTTATGATGCATGAATCTATAGCAGTTTTTTTTAAGAGTTTATTTATTTATCTATAGAGGGGAAGGGAAGGAGAGAGGGAGAGAAATATCAATGTATGGTTACCTCTCATGAGTCCCCTGCTGGGAACTGGCCTGCAACCCAGGCATGTGCCCTGACTGGGAATCAAACCACGATCCTGTTCACAGGCCCACGCTCAATCCACTGAGCTACACCAGCCAGGTCTAATTGTTTTTTAATGAAATTATATGTGTGTGTGTATATACACATACACCTATACACATATTTTTAGTTTGGGCTACTCTAGCAAAATACCATAGACTAGGTGGTTTATAAACAACACAAATGTCTTTCTCACTATTTTGGAAGCTGGAAGTCTGAGATGATGGAGCCAGCACGGTCAGGGTGTAGACTGCCTCTTCCAAACTGAAGAATGCCCATTGCTCCTCGGATCCTCACATGGCCAAGGGCAGAGCGAGCACAGGAGCTCAACTAATCCTAATTACCTCTCGAAGGTCCCATCTCCTAATAGCATCACAGATGGGGTAGAGTTGTAACACACGCACTTAGGGGGCACATAAAGATTCAGTCCAAAACAACATATACATCATTTTAGCACAGTTGAAAATTAGCATAATGCTATCCAATATTATGTATATAATATATGTGTAGTATACATAAGCATGCTTACATATGTATAGTAGTATACTTAGGTATATACTTATACCTAATATACTGTATGTATAAGTATAATATAGTATTACATTGTAAGATGTGTAAGTATAATATACTTATACACATAGTATATTACATATACTACACATATACCGTTCAGGTCACCACCTCCTGACTTGCATTGTCTAACACAGTAGCCACTAATAGCAGGGGGGGTATTGACCAGATAAAATGTGGCTAGTGCAACCCAGTAATTGATTTTTAATTTAATTAGGCTTCTATTTAAATTTAGAAACTAAGGCATTGTCGAGTATTATTCTGGTAAACACAATATTAATGTTTTGTGCAATGATATTTTACTTTAAACTCTGCATCATTTACCGACATTATTTATCATGGCATGTAGGGAGGAGTATATGCATCATTTCTAGTATGACCCATAAACACATCACGGTCTAGCCAGAGTGAACAGATTGATTCAGTTGGAGTTTATTCTGTCACCAGCAATATACTGTAACATCATAATGTGTGTTTTTAGG